AAGCAGGGCGAGCTCAACGGAGGCTGCGGGTGCGGGCTTCGGCTGAAGAGACAAGAGCCCTCGCCATGTGGTGCGTCAGTTTCGGCTTCCCATTGCTGGGGGATTCCTGGGTTGTCGCCAGGCATTTCTGCTTGCGCTACGGCGAGGTTTTCCAGATCGGGAACGAACGTGCCCCTGTTCGCGTCGGCGTTGCACCAGACGGGCGCCGCCACGTTTGCATCACTTCCATGCAGAGAAAGTGTTATTCGGAGCCTGTGGAGGTCACGCGAACCTGCATCTGCAAACTGCAGGGTCGTGCCCTTTGTGGCGTTTGTGTTGTGGTCCGGCTGCGTCGCGACGTCCAGGTGCCTAACATTTTCTCAGGCATTACTTACGCTGAAAGCTTGGAGATGCTAAAAATTGCCGCCGGCGCGTGCGGCGTTGCAAACGCAGCGTCCTGGGGCACCCACGCCTTTCGGCTGGGCTGGGCTACAGAGTGCCTGCAGGCAGGTGGCCCGACTGCTCTGTTCTACTCAGGGGGCTGGCGCGGATTGACTGCTTTTGCGTACGCTTCTGCTCGCGCCAGAGGAGCCATAGCAGCGGCAGAGTTTCCTGTTGACCACTCTGAGTCGTCTGAAGCTGGCGAGTGAAAAGCTCCTGCTTGCACTGGGCTCAAATATCTTCGCAGTCGCTTCGCGCAGCTGCCTGTCCCTGCCTGGGTGCACTGGGCCGTTCTGGACCTCCCAGGTCAAGGCCCGCCAGCTGCACGATCCGTTCCGCCCTCAGTGCGTGCGGGAACGCGGGCAGCTTGATGCGCTGCGACGGCAAATTTCCGTCGCCCCTAGATTGCGCAGCAATTTGGGGGGCAGGGAAATTTGAGGAGCAGGGATGTTGTGCATTTGCCACTTGTTGCCTCATTGCCTACTGGCCTTCTTGCTAGTGGGTTCACGCCCGTGGGCGCTCCCAAAGCGGGGCTGCGGATTCGTGGGGGGTCCCGTTGGATCTCCGCAGGCCCTCCCTGGCGCCCTGCTGGTCTCTGTCGGGTGCCTTCTGTGCTCCGCGCCTTGGGCTGCGTTGCGGCCTGTGGAAATCGGCGTGGGGATGCCACGCCGCGTCCTCCTCCTCCTCCTCCCTCGTCCTGGCTGGTTGGTTGGTTGATTGGCGCACTTTCGTGCGTGCCAGCGGCGTGTGGCCGCTCGGCGTGGGTCTGGGCGCGTGCCTGGTGCACAGCGTTGTCGCATTGCCCACCCACTCCACCCTGCGCTGTGCTCGGCTGGCGCGCACAACTGCACGGGCGGTCCCCTTTGTGCTGTCCGCCTTCCGCTGGCTTGGGGCCGTTCTGGACCTCCCAGGTCAAGGCCCGCCAGCTGCACGATCCGTTCCGCCCTCAGTGCGTGCGGGAACGCGGGCAGCTTGATGCGCTGCGACGGTAAATTTCCCCGCGATTGCAGGGGAAGAAAAAATGACATAAACATAATTAAAAACTCGGAGGTCCGCGCGGATTTCCCGGATCGGCGCTGGGGCCCCCCGGCGGCGCCTCCAGCGCCGCCCCTGGCGCGCTCCGCGCGCCAGGGAGGGGGGTCCAGCGCCTCTCCGAGAACTCCGCGCGGACCTCCGCGTTTTTATGTTTATGCCACTTTTTGAAGGGCCTGGGACACACAAATAAATACACACAAATAAAAGGATCCCCAATATTTTCCCAGATTTTCTGGGTTTTTGTCTTCCCTCCCACTTTCCATCTTTCCCCATATTTTCTGGGGGATCGACGATTAATAGTGTCTGTGTGTTTTTTCCCTCTTGATTTTTGTTCCCCTATGATCGGGGCCTCCAGGGGCCGTCTTCGGGCCCCGAGGCCGCCAGAAGCAGGAGAAGCCACGGCCCTCGGCGCGCGCCGCAGGAGCGAGGCTCAGACACCCAGGCGCCGCGAGAAGCAAAAGCTCGACTGGCGACTTTCCCGCGACCAGGGCCTCCAGGGGGCCGTCTCCGGGCCCCGAGGCCGCCAGAAGCAGGAGAGGCCACGGCCCCCCCCCCCCCCCCGGCGCGCTCCGCAGGAGCGCGTTCACGACCGCGGGAGGTCCAGGGGCCGGGCAGGGAGAGCAGACAGGCGCGTTCCACGACACGCACAGTTGAAGGGGCCCCGGGACACGCAAATAAATACACACACAAAGAACAGGATACCCTATATCTTCGTCTATTTGCTTGGTGTTTGCCTTCCCCCCCACACTTCCCATATTTTCCCATATTTTCTGGGGAATCGAGGATTCATTGTGTCTGTGTGTTTATTTCCCTCCTGGAAAGTGACTACTCGCAAATGGCCTGGATCCCCCGCGGGGCATCTGCGATAAATTGCATCGAAGCAGACAGGTGTTTTTTCGCACGTTTGCGAGTGGGCACTTTGCGAGCAGTGGGACGCGCTCGGTGAGAGAGGGAAAAGGGAGAGACTCGGCCAGGCCAAGCTCAAACTGACCGAGCTCAGCCTTGCCGAGTTTGTCCTGGCCGAGTGTAGCTGCTGCTGGGAGAGGAAGCGGTAAAAGGGGGGGGGGGGCAGCGCCTGCGCTCTCACCTCTCCTCGTCACCCCCCCGTCAAGAATCAACCCTACGCCCCCCGCAGCGTTGTCACTCCCTCCCTTCGCCAATGTTCGCCCGCGACCTCCTGACCCCCCGACCCCCTCCTCTCCCATCTTCCCCCCCCCCTCTTCCCCTGCTCGCGATCGCTCTGTCGATCTGGTTCCCTTCCCGCCTTGGGGTGAGGGTGCGCGGCAGGGTGGGGGGGTTGCGGTGGGGCCCGTCCTGGTGCCCCCTTGGGCCATCCACCTCGGGGCCTCTGTGGCCTTCCCGTGGCCCTCTCGAGCCATCTTGGGGGCCCTCTGGCGGGGCGGGGGCCGCCTTGGGGCCCGACACCTGTTCTCTTGTGGGGGCCGATGCCGGAAACGACGCTGCGCCCGGAGGTCCTCCTCTGCGTGCGCGTTGGGAGGCCCTGCCGGCGCCCTGCCGGCGGCAACTTCGTCCCATGTGCTCTTCGCGGTCGCGGCCCGTTTTTCCGCCCCGCTGGCCAGGTCTTTGGCGACCTCTCCACACGCACAACCCCCTCTTCCTCCCCCTCCCCCTTCCCCTCCTACTTCTCCTCGTCGTCCTCGTCCTCGTCCTCGTCGTCCTCCTCCTCTTCCTCCTCCCTCTCCTCCTCCTCCTGCTGCTTCTGCTGCTTCTTCTGCTGCTGCTTATGCTGCTTCTGTTGCTGCTTCTGCTGATGCTTCTGCTGCTGCTGCTGCTGCAAATGCTCCAACTTCAACTTTTCCTCCTCTTCTATTCCCGTTCCTTACTGTCGCACGCCCAGACGTGTCGGGAGGGCGGGCTGGGATTTTTTCGCCTGATACTTCCTTGCCATTGATGATCCTGACGATTGAAAGTGGCAGCAATTTCACAGATGGAGGGCAGGTGGTTTTCAACATGTGGCTCTCGCCTTAGCGCCGCGCACATTAGTTTCATTCAATTAATAGATTGCGACAGCTTCACGGATGGAGGGCGCGTGGTTTCAAAATGTAGCTCTCGCCTTAGCGCCGTGCACATTCGTTATACAAGTCGGGAGCAGTTTTGCGGATGGAGTGCAGTTGGGTTTCAAAACGTGGCTCTCGCCTTGGCGCCGCGCGAATTCGTCTTACAAGCTTGCAGCAGCTTCAAGAATGGAGGGCGGTTCTTTTTCAAACTGTGGCTCTCCTCTTAGCACCGCGCACACTTGTCTTGACAATGTACAGAGCTTTCAACGATTCGTATGGTTTAAGTCCGAGGACTGGCGTTCTGGATTTAAGATTACCAGGTCGCAACAGTCTTGACTCGAGGCGTTTGTCCCAGGAAGGGTGTTCGGGCACGATTGAGGATTGCCAGGACGCAGCAGTCAAATGGATTCGCGGCGCTGACGTCTCAGGAATATTCTTTCGGCACGATTGAGGACTCTCAGACGGTTGTCTTCGATTAAAGCACTCCCCGCAATGAGCATCAATTATTGTAGGGACCTGTGAAGAGGAAGTTTGGAAGGATGGATTATTGCAACGTCGCTGATGCGTCTTGGGTTTACACAGGTCTTCCTCCTCCTCCTCCTCCATCTCCTCCTCCACCCTTCCTCTCCCTCTACCCCTCTCTCCCTCTCCCTCTCCCTCTCCCTCTCCCTCTCCTTCTCCCTCTCTCCCTCTCCCTCTCCCTCCCCCTCTCCCTCTCTCCTCCTCCTCCTCCTCCTCCTTCCTCCTCCTCCTCCTCCTCCTCCTCCTCCTCCTCCTCCTCCTCTTCCCTTCTCCTTCTCTTCCTCCTTCTCCTCCTCCCTCCCTTCTGCCCCTCCTCCTTTCTCTTCTCTTCCTCCCTCTCCCTCCCGACTAGATTGCGCTAACCACTTGTCCTCAGAGCCCTCCCCCGGTGCCCTGAAGGCCGAGCTGAAGGGAAATTGCATCGCGCGACTTTTTTGCTCGACTCCCCCTTCTCCCTCCCTCCGTTTCTCCCACCCTCGGCGGAAGGGGGGGGGGGCGGCGGCCTGTCAATCCAGCCTCGGAGGCGAGCAACAACACGGAACACGTCGCGCGAAACCTCTGCTTCCCCCCTTCTTTTGAGGAGGGCCCAGCATCGAATCGTGAGTTCGAATCGGCGATCCAAATCAATCGGATCGGCGGAAATCGGCAGCCGAATCGGGAGACGTCGACTCGGCGGAAACGGGCAAGCTAGAGGGTCTTCATCGAGAAACTGGAATCCACATGGGAGTCCGAAGCCGAATCGAGCCGGAAGCGAAGCCATCGACGCCGCACCGAAGCGGATCGGAGGAGTCGAAGCGAGCCCAGCGCTGTCCGTTCCTCCTGTTCCCCCCCTCCCCTGACCTTCCAGGAGGGCTAAAAAATAGCACCAGGACGTCGACGTCCTAATTCCTGTCGAGGTTTGAGGCAGTCCAGATAGATCTGTAGGTCTGGAATGCTATTTTTTAACACTCTGGAAGGTCAGGGTCCTTTCCCTCCCCGCCCTCGTCCTCCGGAGCGGGCGGCGGCCTCTTCACCCAGTCCCGCAGCCTTCGCTCCGCGGCGACCTCGTCCTGGCGGCTCGGCCGGGGCGGTCGGCCGCGCCCGACGGTCGCGGGCAGCTCGTGCCCCGACCTCCGAGCATCGGGCTGTGTCGATCCCGGGAGCTCTTCCACTCTCAGCTGCCCCGATGAGCCACACGCAGCACGTGGCGTAGTGATGCGGAGCGCAACACGCGGACTGAACACGTGGGTCCGACGCGATACGTTCGTCCAAAACGTGGGCCAATACGTGGAGCCAATACGTTTAAATTGGGCGTGTCCTCCTACAGGGGGATCTTCGACGAAAAATAAAAAATACCCCCCAAATGCCCCAAAAAGGTCAAACAATACTTCAAAAATAGTCCCCAGACTATTTTTGGACTATTTTTTTGACTATTTCTGGGGTATTTTTTTTCCCGTCGAAAATCCCCCTGTAGGTGGGACAGGCCCGACTTAACAATGCGTGGAGCCAACACGCAACGTGTTGACACGGACGCCTTGCACACGGGGCGTGCTGCGCTTCAAGACGGGCGTGTCGAGGCAACCGAGCTCCCACAGGGCTCGGCCCCGGGGGCCTGCTGCCGGGCCCCCCGTCGGGGGGAACGCAAGGGGGGGGGATATCAGAGGGTGGGGAGGAGGAGGAGGAGGAGGAGGGGGAGGAGGAGGAGGAGGAGTAGGAGGAGGAGGAGGAGGAGGGGGAGGAGGAGGGGGAGGAGGAGGAGGAGGAGGAGGAGCAGGAGGCCGTGGCCGACTTTCCCAGCGCCTCCCGGCGCCGGGAGGCGCCCGTGTATGGAGGAAGGGGCCCGGCGGCGGGGCCGAAAGCAGTTGCCTGCAGCGGATTTCGCAGCTCCCCCTGTCCCTACCCCCCCCTTTCGTTCGGCCCGGCCCTGGGCCGTGAAGCACGGACCCAGGACGAAAGGCTGCCCCCGCCGAGGGGGTGGGGACCTCGGAGCGGCGGCGAGCGAGGGCGGGAAGGGCAAGCTAGGTGCGCTCGCGTCATATCTGACATCCTACCACTCCCTCCCATCCCTTACCATGGCGTAGATCCCCTCTCTACTCGCGCAGTCGGATGTCGAGCAGGGCAATGATCCCGAAAGGGTACGCGATGCATTGTAGAGCACGGCATGGCATGGCGTAGAAGAGCACCGCAAAGCGTTGTATGTCACAGCATGGCGTGGCGTGGCGTAGTGAAGAATTGCATCACAAAGCTTGGCGTGGCGTGGCGTAGTGAAGAATTGCAACGCAAAGCATGGCCTCGCACAGCGGCCCCGAACATAACATTGCATAGCATGGCGTTGAAGATCAAAGCGTAGCATGGCATAGCACGACGTGGCACTTAAGCTCTGCATGTCACAGCTTCAGCTGAAGGCTGGCATCGCGCAGCGGAGCGCAACCTAGCATTGCATTGCATGCCGTGGCATGGCACGGGAAATGACGCCAGCGCTGCAGCGGGAGCACGATTCGGGACGAGCGGAAGCGCGGAAATGAGGCCAGCGCTGCAGCGGGAGCACGATTCGGAACGAGCGGAAGCGCGGAAATGAGGCCAGCGCTGCAGCGGGAGCACAAATCGGAACGAGCGGGGCCCGAAAATGAGGCAGGCGCCTCAGCGAGAGCAGCATTTTGGAAACAAATGAAAGCGAAAACCCAACTCCGGGGAATCCTGTAAAAAACAGTACGCGGGGGGGGGGGCGAACACTCCCAACCGGTTATCAGGGGAAGGAGGAGAGTAGTATTCATGTTGAGTAATTGTAGAAGGAGGAGGCCTTTTCAGAAGGCGGCGTGACCTCTCAGAAGCCCTGGCGCCTTCTGAAAAATATTTTGTGCCTTCAGGGACGGCCTAGAACACCTTTCGGAAGGCCAGGGGACTTCCGAGCCTTCTGAGCAGGCCCGCCCCTTCTCACTTCCTCTCACTTCCCTCCCAAGCTCGTCGCTGATCCTGAAGGGGCCACAGAGACACACAAACAAATAGACACAACTCCCAGGACCCCCCCCTTTTTCCCAAGATCTTCTGGAGTTTCGCCTTCCCCTCCACTTCCCATATTTTTCTGGGAATCGACGTTTACTTGTGCCTGTGCCTACACGTCGTTCATTTCCAACCGTGCTCATTTCCAAGTGTGCTCGTTTCTAATTCTTCCTGGCCCCCTATAGTGGCCAGGAAAAGGCCCAGGATAGAAGAAGCAGACATGAAAAGGGTCTTGGCCCCCAGAAAAGCCAAGAACTTTCGAAGACTTAGAAGTGAGCAACGTGTATTTCTTCCTCCTGAGATCTGGGGCCGCGCAGGGGGCAAACCCGCGCTCGTCGGATGTCCGGGCGGGCGGCAGCGCAGTGCGCCCGCCGGGGCGGGCGGAGACCGCCACCGCGTGTGGGGCCCGAGCAGGCGGGGCCGGGTGATGGCGCCGCGCCGCCCAAGCGTCGCGGATGTGTCGGCGACGTCGGGATGTGTCGGCGACGTCGGGATGTGGCGGCGTCGGCGGGGCTAGGACCAATTCGGGTGAGGACAGATCGGGGATCTCTGAGGTCCAGCGGCTCTGGAGGATGTGTCGGGCGCCGCGGCCTCCTCAGAACGTCCCGGAGCGCTCTGAGCGCGCCCCAGAAGGCTCTGGAACGGATTTGTCCTCGTCCTGGCCCCGTCCGAGAGATGGTCGGGCTCCAGGTCGAGCCGCATCGCCGATGCACTTGCGATGCGGTGCGATCCTCCGACCCCATGCTCTCCGGTCCCGGCTTGCGCGGCGTGCAAAAAGCGGGCGTGCCGAGTTTTGCCCTCGATTTTCGAATGCGATGTTGCTGCTTTGTGCCATTATGATGTTTTTTTGGTCGAACTCTCACTACTGCAGAATTAACTATTGTTGATTACTCCCCCCCTCCGGTGACCATTGTGTTTTTCTCAATTGAAGTGCTTCCCCGGGGCTTGCACCCTGTTTTTTATTAGGGAAAGTCACGGGGCTCAAACTGGGCCCCTGGCCCCCGGCTTACAATTACCCTGGGGACGTACCCAACCCTTGCGCAATGCGGGGCATAAGTACAGCAGGATTGCTACAACGGGGGCGATGACGTAACATGGGCGCATGTGATTTTGCGAGCTGCAATCGGAAGGCTCGCAGGCCCCCGATCAAGATATAAGGGCAACGTAAAAACAAATCCCCCCCCTTGGCTGTGCCATGCGCCCGTTGCACCCAACGTATCCCACAGCAGCTCTTGAGAGCCCCCGCGGGATACGTGTAGGCGCAACGTTATGGCCATCGCCCGGCAGATGGTTTGTTTCACACATCACCCCTGTTGGCTGTGCCATGCGCCCGTTGCGCCTAACGTATCCCGCAGCAGCTCTCCAGAGCCCCCCAAGGACGGCGAGGTCTCGCCGAGGTCGCCGCGGTGCCTCACTGCGCTGGACCCACCAGCAGCCCTCGAAAGTGGCGACAATGTCGCAGATCGTAGCCCCCCTAGGGACGGCGAAGTCCCGCTCAGGTCCCCGCGGTGCCTTACTCCGCAGGACCCACCAGCAGCCGTCGAAAGTGGCGACAATGTCGCAGATCGCAGCCCCCCCAGGGACGGCGAGGTCTCGCTCAGCCCCCCGCGGTGCCTCATTCCGCTGGACTCACGAGCAGCCCTCGAAAAAGGCGACAATGTCGCAGATCGCAGCCCTCCCCACGGACGGCGAGGTCCCGCTCAAGTCCCCGCGGTGCCCCACTCCGCAGGACCCACCAGCAGCCCTCGAAAGTGGCGACAGTGTTGCAGATCGCAGGCTCAGGTCCCCGCGGTGCCTCGCTCTGCTGGACTCACGAGCAGCCCTCGAAAGTGGCGACAATGTCGCAAGACGCAGCCCCCCCCAGGGACGGCGAGGTCTCGCTCAGGTCCCCGAAGTGCCTCACTCCGCTGGACCCACCAGCAGCCGTCGAAAGTGGCGACAGTGTCGCAGATCCCCCCCCCCCCAGGGACGGCGAGGTCTCGCTCAGGTTCCCGCGGTGCCTCGCTGCGCTGGATCCACCAGCAGCCCTCGAAAGTGGCGACAATGTTGCAAATCGCAGCGCCCCCAGGGACGGCGAAGTCCCGCTCAGGTCCCCGCGGTGCCTCGCTGGACCCACCAGCAGCCCTCGAAATGGCGACAATGTCGCAGATCGCAGCTCTCCCCAGGGACGGCGAGGCCTCGCTCAGGTCCCCGCGGTGCCTCACTCCGCTGGGCTCACCAGCAGCCCTCGAAAGTGGCGACAGTGTCGCAAATCGCAGCCCCCCAAGGACGGCGAGGTCCCGCTCAGGTCCCCGCGGTGCCTCACTCCGCAGGACCCACCAGCAGCCCTCGAAAGTGGTCACAATGTCGCAGATCGCAGCACCCAACGGACGGCGAAGTCCCGCTCAGGTCTCCGCGGTGCCTCGCTCCGCAAGGTCCACCAGCAACCCTCGAAAGTGGCAACAATGTCGCAAATCGGCCCCCCCAAGGGCGGCGAGGTCCCGCTCAGGTCCCCGCGGTGCCCCACTCCGCAGGACCCACCAGCAACCATCGAACGTGGTAACAATGTCGCAGATCGCACCCCCCCAGGGACGGCGAGGTACCGCTCAGGTCACCGCGGTGCCTCACTCCGCAGGACCCACCATCAGCCCTCGAAAGTGGCGACAATGTCGCAGATCGCGGCCTCCTCCAGGGACGGCGAGGTCCCGCTCAGGTCCCCGCGGTGCTTCACTCCGCAGGACCCACCAGCAGCCCTCGCTCAAATTCCCGCGGTGCCTCACTCCGCAGGACCCACCATCAGCCCTCGAAAGTGGCGACAATGTCCCAGATCGCAACCCCCCAGGGACGGCGAGGTCCCGCTCAAGTTCCCGCGGTGCCTCACTGCGCTGGACCCACCAGCAACCCTCGAAAGTGGCGACACTGTCGCAGATCGCAACGCCCCCAAGGACGGCGAGGTCCCGCTCAGGTCCCCGCGGTGCCTCACTGCGCTGGGCCCACCAGCAGCCTCGAAAGTGGCGACAATGTCGCAGATCGCGGCCTCCTCCAGGGACGGCGATGTCCCGCTCAGCCCCCCGCGGTGGTTCACTCAGCAAGACCCACCAGCAGCCCGCGAAAGTGGCGACAATGTCGCAGATCGCAGCCCCCCTCAGGGACGGCGAAGTCCCGCTCAGGTCCCCGCGGTGCCTCACTCCGCAGGACCCACCAGCAGCCCTCGAAAGTGGCGACAATGTCGCAGATCGCAGCACCCCCAGGGACGGCGAGGTCCCGCTCAGGTCACCGCGGTGCCTCGCTCAGCAGGACCCACCAGCAGCTCCCGAAAGTGGCGACAATGTCGCAGATCGCAGCCCCCCCCGGGGCCAACGAAATCCAGCTCATGTCCCCGCGGTGCCTCACTCTGCTGGACCCACCAGCAGCCCTCGAAAGTGGCGACAATGTCGCAGATCGCAGCACCCCCCCCCCCCAGGGACGGCGAGGTCCCGCTCAGGTCCCCGCGGTGCCTCGCCCCGCGGGACCCACTAGCAACCCTCGAAAGTGGCAACAATGCTGCAGATCACGTTCCCCCCCCTCCCGCCCCCCCCAAGGACGGCGAAATCCAGCTCAGGTCACCGCGGTGCCTCACTCCGCAGGACCCACCAGCAGCACTCGAAAAGGGCGACAACGTCGCAAATCGCACCCCCCCAAGGACGGCGAGGTCCCGCTCAGGTCCCCGCGGTGCCTCACTCCGCAGGACCCACCAGCAACCATCGAACATGGCGACAATGTCCCAGATCGCAACCCCCCCACGGACGGCGAGGTCCCGCTCAAGTCCCCGCGGTGCTTCACTCCGCAGGACCCACCAGCAACCCTCGAACGTGGCGACAATGTCGCAGATCGCAGCCCTCCCCACGGACGGCGAGGTCCCGCTCAAGTTCCCCTGCGGTGCCTCACTTCGCAGGACCCACCAGCAACCCTCGAAACTGGCGACAATGTCGCAGATCGCAGCCCCCCCCCAGGACGGCGAGGTTCCGCTCAGGTCACCGAAGTGCCTCACCCCGCAGGACCCACCAGCAGCCATCGAACGTGGCGACAATGTCGCAGATCGGAAGCCCCCTCAGGGACGGCGAGGTCCCGCTCATGTCACCGCAGTGCCTCACTCCGCAGGTCCCGCCAGCAGCCCTCGAAAGTGGCGACAATGTCGCAGATCGCAGCCCCCCCAGGGACGGCGAGGTACCGCTCAAATTCCAGCGGTGCCGCACTCCGCAGGACCCACCATCAGCCCTCGACAATGGCGACAATGTCGCAGATCGCAGCACCCCCCAGGGACGGCGAGGTCCCGCTCAGGTCCTCGCGGTGCCTCTCCCCGCAGGACCCACCAGCAACCCTCGAAAGTGGCGACAATGTCGCAGATCGCGGCCTCCTCCAAGGACGGCGAGGTCCCGCTCAGGTCCCCGCGGTGCCCCACTCCGCTGGGCCCAACAGCAACCCTCGAAACTGGCGACAATGTCGCAGATCGCAGGCTCAGGTCCCCGCGGTGCCTCACTCTGCTGGACTCACGAGCAGCCCTCGAAAGTGGCGACAATGTCGCAGATCGCAACGCCCCCAAGGACGGCGAGGTCCCGCTCAGGTCCCCGCGGTGCCTCACTGCGCTGGACCGACCCACCAGCAGCCATCGAAAGTGGCGACAATGTCGCAAATCGCAGCCCAGGGACGGCGAGGTCTCGCTCAGGTCCCCGAAGTGCCTCACTCCGCTGGACCCACCAGCAGCCCTCGAAAGTGGCGACAATGTCGCATATCCCCCCCAGGGACGGCGAGGTCCCGCTCAGGTCCCCGCGGTGCCTCACTCCGCTGGACCCACCAGCAGCCTTTCAAAGTGGCGACACTGTCGCAGATCGCAGCCCCCCCCAGGGTCGGCGAGGTCCCGCTCAGGTCCCCGCGGTGCCCCGCGCCGCACGACAACAATACCGACAGTTTCGCAGATCGCACCCCCCCCAGGGACGGCGATGTCTCGCGGGAGACAGGAGGCGGGAGGCAGGAAGCGGGAGGAGAAGGACGCGACCGAAGTGCTCTAGTCAAAACGAATACCCAACCAAGGAGGGTTGGGAACAACAGCGGCTCCCGCCTGATACTTCCTCACAATATTCCCCAATCGCGCTCTCGCGCGGGACTTCCTCACAATCCATGTACGCATCGCGCTCTCGCGTGGGACTTCCTCGCAAATTATTCAGACGATGCGCCCTCGGCGTTCAGGAATCACGCTCTCGCTTTGGCTTTTCTCACGGGTTACTTGGGAATCGCGCTATCGCTCGAGACTTCCTCGCGATTCATGCACGACCCATTCTTCAGCAACCCGCCGGCTCGACCTCGTCGCCTGGGCCCGCCTTCCCGACCTGCCCGCTATGGCTCTGCTCGCTCGATCTGCCCGTCTGGTTCTACCACTTGTTTTCTGCTCCTTGCCCCCCTCCTGCTAATTTCTCCCGTGCTCCATTCTTCTCCCTCCCCCTTCCACCCGTCCTCTCTTCCCTTGTTTTAGGGGCTGCACCACGTGCACGTGGCAGGTAAGGAAGACATACCCCCAAGAGGGTACGATCGAAGACGACGAGGGCGGGTACCGAGGGTTTGGGATTCACGTCTTGATTGGCACGTGAGCAGATAGGAGCGAACAATCTTAACATGATGGTTGTTGTTGTTTTTGCTGCTGTTGTTGCTGTCGTTGTCGTTGTCGTTGTCGTTGTCGTTGTCGTTGTCGTCGTCGTCGTCGTCGTCGTTGCTGTTGCTGTTGCTGTTGCTGTTGCTGTTGCTGCTGCTGCTGTTGTTGTTATTGTTATTGTTGTTATAGTTGTTGTTGTTGTTGTTGTTGTGGTTGTGGTTGTGGTTGTGGATGTGGATGTGGATGTGGTTGTGGTTGTTGTGGTTGTTGTGGTTGTTGTGGTTGTTGTGGTTGTTGTGGTTGTTGTTGTTGTTGTTGTTGTTGTTGTTGTTGTTGTTGTTGTTGTTGTTGTTGTTGTTGTTGTTGTTGTTGAATGTTAGTTCCAAAACAAATGTTATTGTTAGACCCCTTAAAGGCGCCTTGGCGCTCTCGCCGAGGCGCCAGCAACATTTTCATTGAAGATGAGGCTCGCGCTCGAGCGGTTTGGGGGGCCGCCAAAATCGCCCCCCAAACAACAACAACGCTCCCGCTCGAGACTTCCTCCTTGTTTACCCAGGGCTGGTGTTCTTGCTCGCCGCCGAAAGCAGCTGTCCTAACAATACCAGCGCTCCCGCTCGAGACTTCCTCCCGTTTTACCTTGGACTGGCGCGCTAGTCTTTCTCTCATCGGCGCCGCCCCCAGCAAAAACAACGCTCCCACTCGAGGCTTCCTTCCTTTTTTACTCAAGGCGGTGCTCCTCCTCGCCGCCGAAAACCGCCGCCCCGACAAATCCAGCGCTCCCGCCCGAGACTTCCTTCCGTTTTACGCTGGTCTGGCGCCCTACTCTCTTTTGAATTGGCGCCGCTCCCAGCAAGAACAACGCTCCCGCTCGAGATTTCCTTTCGTTTTCCTCGGGACGGTGCTGTTCCTCGCCGCCGACAGCCCCCGTCCCAACAAAACCACGGCTCCCGCTCGATGCTTCCTTCCTCCTTTCTTACTCAAGGCGGTGTTCCTCCTCGCCGCCGAAAGCCGCCGTCCCAACAAAACCAGCATTCCCGCTCGAGACTTCGTTTTATTTTACGCTGGACTAGCGCCCTACTCTCTTCAGCATTGGCGCCGCTCCCAGTAACAACAACAGCCCTGCTCGAGACTTCCTCCCTTTCTATTCAGGGCCAGGTCCTTGCCTCACCGTCGACAGCCCCCATTCCCACCAAGGCAATCCAGTCGTTCGATACCTCCTTGTGCTTTACCCTTCGCTGGGGTTCCACAGGCGGTCTCGCATCGGCGCAGCAAGGCGCGGGCATGTGTTTTCGAGGCGGGATATGTTGAAATTCCTCGGAGGAGGTGTTTGCAAGACCTCATTGGGCGGGAGATTTTGGAATGGGAATAACGAGCCCCATTGTAAAACAAGAGTCCCCCATGATGCGGATGGTTATCATGCTTGTCGCATGCTCCGTGTGGCAACATCGCGCATGAGGGTAAACTGATTGTTGTTGCTGTTGTTGTTGATCAGTGTTCATGCGTGTGCGTATGCGTTTTGGTTTTGGGCCACCATTGGCCGAGCCAGTTCGACTCGCCGCACCATTTAGCCTCGCTGCCTTTCTTTCTCAGCGATCCGAAATCTGATGGCCGCAAGGCCTTCCAGTGGGGCGGCTCGGGCAGCCAGCTGCTGCCGTCTCGAAGCGGTGGTATACGCGTGAACATCTGGCCCCGACAAGTATTTCCTGCTCCTCGCATATGACGTGCACATCACGCGTGGGGTGCCATCCTCGTTTGAAGCGTGGCAACGCGTTCGCACCACCGCTATGCACTTCTCGCTGGCAAAGGGCCGCCGGCTTTCTTATCTTCCTTTGTGTCGCAAGCTTATGGCCTTTCGTCGGGGCCTCCGCCAAAATCGAGCACAAACGTCTCGGAAGCCATTGGCACCCCACTTGAGGTCTGTCGTAAGGTGTCGCATAACCAGGGCTTCCATTTATGCCAATCTGTCGGTTCAGCAATCACCTTACGCGGCCGCTCACGCTTGGGCGGGGGCTGGTGCTGCACCCTCGGGAAACAAGGCAAGACCGCAGCCGCCAGTCGTGCTACGATTTCGAAACTCTCAATCGAGCTCTTACGCTGCTGCCACTCCGCCTCCGAAGGTCTGGGATGGATGTCGTGAGCTCCTTTGGCTTCGACATCCGCTCGCCAATTGGCCTGGCCAATCCATCTCTCGGGCGGGGGCAGGGCATCCATGCCAGCAAGCTTTCTATGGGCAAACGTGTGAACAGCAGAGGCATACTCGTTATTACCTATATGCAGTAAGGCGCCTTTACGTACTCCCCCATACCGCTGCTTGGCAGCAACTGCTCTCTCGGGCTCTTGTTGTGCAATTTGACCACGTCTGTACCATCACTGTACACCGCGGGCCCCTCGAACTTGGGAGCGATAATCAGTAATAGAGCC